TAAAATCCAAGCTTTACTGACCAATAGTTAAACAGGCGAGAGGAGGAAAATATCTTCAAGAACCAAAGCTGGCATTTTCATAACAGAGAGCCCTAGATTTCCAGGTTCCTATTGCTCTGAAATTTATGCAACAAATGCTTGTAGGTATCTATAGGAGCATGTGCTCTGTTTACACTGAGTGGGTTATTAGGATAAGTATGGGAGCAGGGTGTAAACTTTTGGTCATATAAGTCCTCATGCACACTGGATGTTTTGATAACGTTGGTAACGTTAGCTATGTAAAGTCACATTAAAAATTGAGTTATTCAGCTTTTTTTAGTGTTTTTGCATTAGCGTTTAGCCGCGTTTGCATTTTTACCGCTTTTTTTCCCTCAAAAAATGTTTTTTGGTCAAAAACGCATTTTACAGCGTTTTGCCGTGTTTTTACAGCTAAAAAACTCCTCTAGAAACCCACTAATCCTGGTTTTTTTTTCCAGCCCAAATAGGATGATTACAGTCTATGTGTGCATGGATACATAGGATAACATGCTGGGGGGTTTACTAGCTGTAGAGAAAAAAACATCAAAAGCCAAAAACAGCCGCTGTAAAAACATCAAGTGTGCATGAGAGCTAAGTGTAGCGCCCACTAGAAGGTGCTAGTGTGAGGTAAATTTATTTTTGGCTCCTGGTAGTGAGTGAGCCTGAATTACTGTGGGTTCAGTATGAGGTCAGGCTGGGTGACTCAGCTGGTTGGAACTCTATTGCCTCCATCTGGTTCTGGAAGTCAGCAGAAGCTTCCAGAAGCCAGTGGGCAGAAGGGTGGAGACCACAATCTGCATGATCATGGGAGTCTGACCAATACCAGGCTCTGGTAGTGTGGTAGACTAACCCATAAATATGAGAGAGCCATGCCCATAAATATGAGAGAGCCATGCTAGCAGTTGTCAGAGTCTGGAGTCAGGTGGAAGATGGAGGATTGAAATGCTGCTGTGGCCTGGGGGGGGGGGGGGGTTTATAGTGCTTATTGATGATTAATGGACCGTACATTTCCAAATGCGTTATCAAAAAGTGCAATGGAAAAAACTTCCATAAAGGGGTTGGTTTACTAAAACTGGAGGGTGCAAAATCTGGTGCAGCACTGCACAGAATCCAATCAGCTTCCAGGTTTTATTGTCAAAGCTTAATTGAACAAGCTGAAGTTAGAAGCTGATTGGTTACCATGTACAGCTGCACCACATTTTGCACTCTCCAGTTTTAGAAATTCAACCCCAAGGTGTTCTCTGATTGAACAAGGAGGAGAGGAGGAACAATCCAGAATGTACAAAGAAAACACATACACATCTTTATAAGGTCATCAGAAAAAGTTAAGGTGCTTTGGCATAAACGGAGGTGAAATATAATTACAGTTGAAAAATCTTGAAATAAACATAATAGATCCATGCAATATGCTGCAATTACATATAAATAATAAACATGAAATTATTCTCCTGTAATACCAATTAGGCTACTACATTTAATGTGCTGAAATCTTTAATTATGGGTCAATGGAAAATTGTAAAATGTTTGTACCATAATAACAAGCTTCAGATCTGATTACTTCCTACTGTAATTTATTTAATTAGCATTATTTGCATCACTTAGCATTGTGGGGTTGGAGAATGTGTATGCAAAAATGGATTATTCCCTAGGAAAAAATAATTTGTCAAAAGATTCTATAGAAAAATGTTATTTTTTATAGTGAACTTGTACTTTGAAGGGCAAAGTAACAGTTTCACATAAAACCTGAACTATACACAGATATAAAAGACAGATACAAAATGAATGCAGCTCTGAATCCATATAATGTTATATGTTTTTAACTCTTATGTAACAATTGCAGGATGAATTACTATCACTAGAGCCTATAGCTCTGGTTTTCCATGCTGTGGCTGAGGGGGGGGGGGGGGGGGGGGGGTTACATGTAGACAATAATCTATGTTTCCCTATTGCCCTGTTATAGAAATTATTTCTAACAGTCTTGTGTAATTTGTCTCCAGTCCATAACTGTCTCCTAAAGCATGTCCCCAGTTACAACTCTCATAGCATGTTCATGGTCTCTGATAGTGTCCTGCAGTATGTCCACAGTCTCTGACCACTTCTTGCATTAGGTTTGTAAGCTCTGACCATCTTCTGCACCATGTCAGCAGTCTCTTACCATATCCTGTATCTTGGCTGCAGTCTGGGACCATCTCCTGTGTCATGTGTGCAGTCTCTGACCATCCTTTGTGTCATGTCTGCAATCTCCGACCATCTCCTGTGCCATGTCTGCAGTCTATGGCCATCTCTTGTTTTATGTCTTTAGTCTCTGACCATATCCTACACAATGTCTGCAGTCTGTGACCATCTCCTGTATCATGTTTACAGTCTCTGACCATCTCCTGAATCATGTCTGAAGTCACTGACCATCTACTGTATCATTTCTGCAGTCTATGACCATCTACTGCATCATGGCTGCAGTCTCTGACCATCTCCTGTACCATTTCTGCAGTCTATGACTATCTCCTGTACCATGTCAGCAGTCTCTTACTATCTCCTGTATCATGTCTGCAGTCTCTGACCATCTCCTGTGTCATTTCTGCAGTCTATGACCATCTCCTGAATCATATCTATAGTCTCTAACCATCTCGTCGTGTATCATGTCTACAGTCTCTGATCATCTCATGTATCATGCCTGTAGTCTCTGACCATCTCCTGTATCATTTCTGCAGTATATGACCATCTCCTGTATCATGGCTACAGTCTCTGACCATCTCCTGTATCATGTTTGCAGTTTCTGACTATCTCTTGTATCATGGCTGCAGTCTCTGACCATCTCCTGTGCATGTCTGAAATCTCTGACTATGTTCTGTGCCATGTCTGCAGTCTCTGGCCATCTCTTGTTTTATGTCTGTAGTCTCTGACTATATCCTGCACAATGTCTGCAGTCTCTGACCATCTCTTGTTTTTATGTCTGTAGTCTCTGACTATATCCTGCACAATGTCTGCAGTCTCTGACCATCTCCTGTATCATGTCAGCAGTCACTGACCATCTCCTGTATCATGTCAGCAGTCTCTGCCCATCTCCTGTACTATGTATGCACTCTCAGACCATCTCATGTATCATGTCAGTATTCTCTGGCCATCTCCTGTATTATGTATGCAGTCTCAGACCATCTCATGTATCATGTCGGTATTCTCTGACCATCTCTTGTGTCATATTTGCAATCTCTGACCATCTCCTGCACCATGTCTGCAATCCCTGACCATCTCCTGTACCACATCTGCGGTCTCTGGCCATCTCTTGTGTCATATCTGCAATCTCTGACCATCTGCTGTGCCATCTCTGTAGTCTCTGGCCATCTAATGTGTCATGTCTTTAGTCTCTGACCATCTCTTGTGCCATGTCTGCAGTCTCTCACCATATCCTGTGCAATGTCTGCAGTCTCTGACCATCTCTTGTATCATGCTTGCAGTCTCTGACTATCTCCTGCACTATGTCTGCAGTGTCTGACCATCTCATGTATCATGTCTGTAGTCTCTGACCATCTTTTGTGTCATGTCTGCAATCTATGACCATCTCCTGTACCATGTGTGAAGTCTCTGGCCATCTCTTGTGTCATGTCTGTAGTCTCTGACCATCTCCTGTGCCATGTATGCAGTCTCTGGCCCTATTTTGTGTCATGTTTGTAGTCTCTGACCATCTCCTGTACCATGTCTGCAGTCTCTGGCCATCTCTTGTGTCATGCCTGTAGTCTCTGACCATCTCCTGCACTATTTCTGCAGTCTCTGACCATCTCATGTATTATGTCTGCTGTCTCTGACCATCTCTTCAATCTCTGGCCATCTCATGTGTAATTTCTGTAGTCTCTGCCCATCTCCTGTGCCATGTCTGAAGTCTCTGACCATCTCTTGTGTTATATGCACTGTCTTCGATCATTTTTAGTATCCTGTCCACAGTCTTTGACCATCTTTTGCCTTATGTCTGCAGTGTCTGACCATCTCTTGTGTCATGCCGATTATCTTTGACTATATCCTGTTGCACTCCTGATACAGGAGATGGTTAGAGACTGCAGAAATGATACAGGTGATGGTCAGAGACTACGGACATGATACAAGAGATGGTCAGAGACTGCAGTTATTTCACACGGACATATCACATGAGATGGTCAGAGACTGCTGACACATGATACAAGAGATGGTCAGAGACTGCACCTGCTGAGGAATGTGCTGGATCCCTGGATATCAAAGTGTTACTAAACCTACAACAGTAAAACCAGTCTGCATATGCAGTAAAGCATGCTCGTTATACTCACTGTGGATCCTAAGGGGTTAATCCTCTGCATTGTGTAAAAATTTTATTTGATCCTGATTTCTCTGATCCTTCCCTTCTTCCAGTGCCCCTCTCTTATTTCCTGATAAGTCATATCGTGTGGAGTCACTCTGCACATGCTCAGTTTGGTGAGTATTGCTAGAGAGGTTTTTTTCTTTTCTTGGAAGAGTGCATGTGATCAGCACAGGGACAATCAGCACTGTCAAGACAGAGGTCAGGGATTCTGTATCTTCCTAAAGCAGAAAGAAAACTCCTCCTACAAGTTTTAACATGTGCTCTGCTGGACACTGATAGAAGTCACAAGACTGCTATATACTGCTGATGAGAAAAGGTATTTAGCAGTTTATATTTACTAAAATAATTGCACTTCCTTGTTCTGGGTACTGAGGGAGACCAGATATAGTGAATGCTGGGTCCTGGCTTTAGTAACACTTTAAGTGTCCTTTTATTAAAAGTCAGCAGCTACGGTATTTGCAGCGGCTTACTTATTTTCTCTCCAACAGACTGAAGCTCCTCTTGAAGTGCACATTTAATGAACACATAATGCAGGCTGTAACAATCTTAGCAGATAAACTTCTTAAACATGCCTAGATCTAATTTTTGAACAAGCTATAATAACTTTGATTAGTCAGGCTTAATGGCAAAGATTAAGCATGTAGTCCAGCCAACGTACCAAACAGCTGGGGAGAGACTGAATCACCATCTGAGTATGCAATGTATTTCCAGGAATTATCTCGGAGCATGTAGGTTGAAGCATTTGCATCAGATCCATGAAACTGACTCAGTGCCCAGTTAGGATGCAAATCAGACAAAATCTCATTCTGTGATGTTGCCGATAATAATGGCATCAGGGAGTAACCACTTATGTTTCGAGGAACAGGCAAACCTGCAATTTCTAAAATAAGACAGAACAAAACATCACTCCACCAAAATAAAAGATACAAAAAAACTCAGCAGTGGCGGTTTCATTTGGATTACAAAGACAAGTGCATTTGTATTTCTGTACTCTCTGTGGACATATTATATTTATACTTAGGAGACCAGCAGGGTTCAGAAATGACAATAGTCCATCATATTTAAAGAGGTATTAAGCACAAAAACAAACATTTTATTATATTGCAGCTTAACGATGTGGTGGCTGTATTAGTTTTCCTTTTTTAGGCTTTTTTTCTCCTTTATTTTCACCTGGTAATCTGGTCAGTAAGTCTTTAAGCTGCCCTACAGATGTGGCAATTAGATGGTTGAGACAAACCGCTTACTACTGACAGGGTCAGCTTTAATTAATTTACGTACAACCTTTATCCCAAAAGAAAAATCTATTGCTGTAACAGCTTATAACATGTTAGCTGGAGTTCAGTTTTAATTTGTTAGTGTATCTAAATCTGATAATGCATCTAACACCCCCTCCCACAAGATTAACAATGCTGCTGTCTAAGGGTGCCCCTTGTGCTCCTTCATCCATAAAGGGGGCACTCTAATACAGGATGTGTGTTACTGGCCAGATCACCAGGTTATATAGAGGGAAAAAAAAGTCTACAAAAAGAAAACTATTGCAGCCACTACATCTACGATATCAGGCACACAAGGTCAATGTTGGCCAAAATCTGCCCAAACAGTAGTAACTGTCCGACTTTTGGGCTGTGTGTACAGCTGCATGTCTCATGACCGGCTTATCTTCGAACGGGTATGCTGGAAAACCAGCAGCTGAAAGCGCTGATCAGTGTGTCCTGGTCAGGGGGTGGCCCCCCTGTCAGAATACAATAGCAAAGTGGGGGAGATCTCTGCACTCACATCGCTTTTGTTAGTTTGTCAGTTTCTTTTCCTTCAGCCCACTGGGTTGAATGAAAAAAAACTTATACCCGTGAATCAGGCTTAAGCTGCAATATTACATTTTTGGTTTTGGGTGTAATACCCCCTTAAATCATTTGTACATTCTAAAACCACCTATCCAGAGGGAAGCAAAATTAACCTGACCATCCTAGAAATACAGAAAAATCCTCTTTGATGCCAAGAGCTGAATTCCATAGATCAATGCGTAAATGTATAAATCTTAATAGCCTCTTTTAATACTATTTCAAATAACAATTGAACAGATATAATTGTAGACTGGGATAATTAAGCAGCACGTGTGAGTAATGAAAACCAATAATTCACCTTCAATGATTCCCAGCATGCTGCAAAAATGTACTTACAACCATAACAGCAGGACTAAAGCTGAAACATGTTTTATTCATTTTGGACTGAAGGCTACATTCACACAGTCAATGGGATGCAGATCATTTGCTGCATTCAGAGTCAGTTTACACACCACTCCTGGATGTAGCAACACTATAGCCAGTGGCGTCCCGAGGCAGGTGCGGGGGGGGTGAGGTCCGCACCGGGTGACACCGACCGCATGGGGTGACACCAGACCCACTCCACGAAAAGGTAGGTTGTAAAGCAAGCCAACGATCCCCGCAGGATGGATCCGATCCATCCTGCGGGGATCGTCGGCTTTCTTTACAACTTATCTTTTCTTGGAGCGGGTCCGGTGTCACCCCGTATAGGTTGCATGCCGACGATCCTGCAGGGATTGTCGGCATGCAACCTATATGGGGTGACACCGTGTAGCAGCAAGATGCGTCTCCCATGTAGATATGTCCCCCCTGAAGCAACTGCCTCTCCCATTGAAATCAATGGAAAACGTTTAAAAAACACATGAAAAGCACCTCAATAATGCTTCTGAGAAGTGTTTTTGGTGCAGTTTTGTAAGTTACGTGTCCTTTAAAAAATGCTTAGAAAGCGGGGATCAGTGTGAAAGTAGCCTAAGGGAGGACTATAACCCCTGTCAGGTGTTTTTTGCCATCTGGGTCCCATTGCGGAGTTTTCTCATTTCTATTTTCTAATTTCCCTCCACTCTAATCACAACTGAAAAAGAAAAAAAAAAGTTTTGCTCTAGTTGTACTTTAACTACAGAGAATCATTGATGCTGGCATCCACAGCCCAAGTTCACCTTTGTATTTATTCAAAATGTTTCTTTTACTTAGGTAAATGGAAATATCTTTCTCACTAAGAACATGGTGCAGGAAAAGCACATCCATGCCTGTTTCCCACACTGCGCTCAAAACGCACTGCCTCTCCTGCGAGTGCGATGCAATGTTAATAGCATCTCAAATGCAGATAGCAGTGTTTTTGCAGGCATCAAATTGCATGATACTGCAGTACCATGCGATTTGGTGCAGCACATTTTTAAAAGTGGTTTATGCACTTTCTCCACTGCAATTTCAGCCTATTCAAATGAATGGAGTGCAAAATCGCATTGCATGGGAATGTGCAGGAATCCCAGTGTGAATCAGCCCTAACCCCTGGTTCACATTTGTGTGACCATGCGGGTTGCAATTTGCGCTGGCATGAAAGCCCATTCATTTGAATGGACTCCCGTGCCCTGGGACAAGCAGGGAAGGAGTCACTACACTACTTGGGAAATCGCAGCCCGAACGGGAACTGGGGTTCCCAGTACGGTTGCAAATTTCCAGTGCGGGCGGCGTGCCATTAGAATTATTTGTACCCGCCTGTGGGTCCTGCATTCCTCTGTGTGGGTGGTGCGGCTGCAGGTATTTGTGCGGATCCCGCAGCGGCACCACCTGCACAGATGTAAACCAGCGGTAACAATTGAATTAGACAAAAAACATTTTAAAATTTTAGTAAGGGTGATCTCCTTTGAAAATAAGGTACATCTAAATAAAATGTATAAGGGGATGGGAATCACCTACACAGAGGGGTTTTTTTTTTTCATTGTTTTCACCTTAAACATATCCACTCAAATCTTTAACTGTATGAAGTCAATGATTTACCTCCTTTGTCTGACTTACAAGAGAAGTATGGACTATGAAAAAAACCCCTCGTTATACTCACCTAGGTGGATGCAGCATTAATCCGATGCTTACATCTCTCCCGTCTGCTCTGCACTGAGAACTGAGCAATCAAACACTGCTGAACGCTGAGTTCTCCCCTCTGTTCTGAGCAGAGAGCCGTGACTGTCAGTCTCCGGCTCTCTGTTTTGCCCCTCCAGCATTCACTGGAGCTCTGGGCTGTGTAGGGGGCGGGAGCAGCTGGCTCAAGCTCTCAGTGGATCGCAAAGGATGAGCCATGTGCCAGTCCAGGTTTCTGAGTGGATCCTGATCATATGGTAGGGGGCTTTTCAGAGTCTGGACCAGCTCTATAGCTTTGGCTATACTTCTCCTTTAATCAAGCACTTCCAAATCATCTGCCAGCATTCAAGGGGTGAATGAGCAGTCACCAATGATCATCTCTCCTCCTCTTCCCACTCCTTCAGGCTTTGCTTTGCTTCTCACTGCTGTCAGTCAAATCCTGTGATGAGGGAGCAGGGCTGAGCCCCACTGTCTGTGTCAATGGACACAGACAGTGGGGCTTGGAATGAAGCATGCAGGTGTGTCACAATAGGAAGTGCCACCATATATAGAGAAATGGGAAAGGGACATGGGAATAAAAATTGATGAGGGAAAGCAAAAGAAAATATACAGTTTAATTCACGGAAATGTAAATAAGAGAGAGGTAGAAATGAATTCTAAGTGTTTAGTAAGATGGTACATAACACCAAGTGTAGCACATAGAATAAGTGGAGAGAATTCATCTTTGTGTTGGCGTGGATGTGGAGGAAGAGGTTCAGTGTTTCACATATGGTGGGAATGTCACAAAATTCAAGAATACTGAGGGAGTATTGTGGGCTTAATCCAAGAAATAACAGATTAATATTTTAAAGGACCCAGAGACCTGTCTTTTTTATGGCACTGAGCTTTCAGTGAAAAAATATAAAAAATCTGGGCTATTGTACTACTTGAATGCAGCGAAGGGTTTGATACCCAAGTTTTGGCGGGAACAACAAGTACCGAAAATAAAAGATTGAGTGGATAGGGTAGAGAAAATGTACAGAATAGAGGAACTTTATCATATGGATGAAGACAAAATGGAGGTTTTCCGTATAAAGTGGGAAAATTTGTAAAAATTTAAAAAATCAAATCGATACCTAGATTGTGTACAATAACTGTATTATTGAAGTAATAGCAATTGTGGAATAGGAAGTACTGAAAAGAGTTGGTAAATGCATAATCAGGGCCGGGAGGGGTGGTGGGGATTAGAGTAGGAGGGGGGAAGGACAGGGGTAAATAGATTACTAGATGAATGGGAATGTTTTGATATATAGATATACAAAATTGAGAATATTTATATGTATATGTTTGTTTTATTAGCTTTTGTATATATGAAATGGTAATCAAAAAATTAATAAAATATTAAATAATAAAAAAAAAAAAACAATAGGAAGTGACTTCCAGTGTTGGTACACCAAGAAAAGAAGGGTACCAGGAGCGATGATGGGGGACCCAAGAATTTCATTGCACAGAGCAAATAAGTATAAACCTCTTGGTTATTTACAATCACTGTATTAAACCCAAACACAAATATTTATTATATTACCAATTCTTAGGTGTGATGGCTGCATTAGTTTCCTTTTTTTGGCTATATTCATCTGGTGATTCAGTCAGCAACTCTGTTTTTCAGAAGTTGAAGCTCTCCAGCAGAATGTATCAGTTTACATGGATGTGACCATCCATTTACCACTGGCAGGGGTGATTCAAATGATATGCTTTTATTTATTCATGTAAAACCTTTATCTCAAAAGGAAAAAATGTTCCGTCACTGAATAGAAAGTGTGAGCTGTAGCTTGGCTTCAATTTTTTTTTGTATTCAAATCTCATAACCCCCCCTAATTACAGTGCTGCTGTCTGCTGTGTCCTGGCTCATTCCTCTAGAATGGTGTCTCACAAATGCAGAAGGTGTGTTAGTGGCCAGATCACCAGATGAAACCAGAGGGAAAAAGCCAAAGAAAAGACAAGTAATGCAGCCACCATATCTAATGATTGGTACGCTGCAATATAATACATTTTTGATTTTCAGTTTAAAACCGCTTTAAGTATATTGAATTTCTCTTTGTCCGGGTGATCATTGTGACCAATTATTTTGAGTTGTTAGCTGAACTAGAGCAGAAAATGTATGGGAATACTTGCTTCTATGTCTAATAGGACATTTTACCCACTTTGGAGAGATTTCCTCGAACTTTGATCACAGGTCAGGAAATGAAGAGAAACACCTCATGGGCCAAAAACGCCTAACAGGATTTAACCATTTCCTACTTAATCCAAAATGAAAACATGACTTTAGCTGTACTTTAAAGAATACCTAAAGCCATTTTTTAGTTTTGGTGGTGAGGGATTAGAACCTCTGTCAGGTTTTATTGCTATCTGTGTCCCCAGCTGGGAGGTAGAGAGCCTTTCTATTTGTCCTGGTTAGTATTGTCACAGGAACAGAAAATGATTGGAAAATTTAGCACTTGTCAGGAGCATGTGAATTCTTGCGAGACACACTTCTAAGTAGATCCTTACCAGGGGTGGACTGACAACTCATGGGTCCCCCGGGCAATAGGGGATCATGGGGCCCCTGTGTCCTTGCCCAAACTCAAAAAAGCCTATGAAAAAGGTACCAGGGGCATCTCATGGGGCCCCCTACTGACCCCGAGCCCTCGGGCAGTGCCCGAGTTTCCAGATGGTCAGTCCGCCCCTGTCCTCTACGTTGGAGAGATTTCCTCTCATTTCTTGTTTTGTCCACAAGAGGAACAATATGGAGCAAATCTCCCCAATGGTACACTGCAAAAGAAAAATTCTTACAGGCTTTTAACCATTCTTTACATATCCGCATGCGCATTTCTGGGGCGTTACGGTGCATTATTGATGTGTTTTTGATGTGTTCCAGTGCGTTTTTGATGTGTGTCGGTTAATTTTTCCCCTCTATTTTTTTTTCAATTTAAATAGGGACATGTGCATTTTTGGTGCATTCCGGTGCATTTTTTATGCGTTTAACCATGTTCCAGTACAGTTCTGTGCAGGAAAAATGCAGCCTATTGGACTTTTTTTTGCAACCGGAATGTACTCAAACTGCAAGCACTGATGTAAACTATGACAGTGACAACCATATAACCTACTGTCTGTGCATTTTGGATGCAGAAAAAAGCAGACTGAAACATATGTAGTGTGAACCGGCCCTAAAACTAGAAAATGTTTGGTGTTAGATGTACCTTAATTGTTTAGCTTGTGTCTACCACTTACACTGTAGTATATTTTAGCAACTTTTAAACCTTTTCATAATTCTAGAAAAAAAATTCTCCCAGCTAGAGGGTTTCTTTGTCTAGAATAATATCAGCTTTTACACAGGCTTCAGCTGTACCTACCAAGCATAGTGGGGTAAAGATCCACCAGGGAGACTATATTTGATATGGATGTTCCAGGTTTTATATTGGGACCCATCATCAGAAGCGGGATGTGTGTGCTGCCTTCATACATACTCATCTTATAAAACTGTCTGTGTTCCATAGCAAGTTCCCCGTGGTCAGACGTGTACAGCACATAGGTTGTGTTGAGAAGTCCAGTATCAGTGAGGGCGGAAATAATTTCACCTGCAGCAAGACAAGTTATAGGTTTGGAATACTACTCATCATTCTCTGTAATGTATAAACACAACTCATATGCCTTGGGCATGCATTGGAGTAGATTTACTAAAACTGGAGAGTGCAAAATCTGGTGCAGCTGTGCACGGTAATACAAAATGATGCCTGTCTGCTTGTAGAGATAGCCATAGCAGACCATTTTACTGGGTTTGCAACACATTACGGCTCTATTCACATTAATGCGACTTGTCATGCGACTCTGGGGTCGAAAGTTGCATGACAAGTCATCCCCCCCATGTTTCCCAATGGGTACCATTCATATCTGTGTGTCTTCAAGTCGCAGCAACTTCAAAGTAGTTCCTGCAGTACTTTGATCCAACTTTCATGCGACTTGAGGGCCACAGACTTCATGTAAACCCTCCAAAGTCACACGAAAGTCTCACCTGAATGTTGTACATGTGACTTGTGTGCAACTTGTGTGTGACTTTGTACAGCAGAAACAACTATCCTTGGTCAAAGCCAAAGTCGCACCAAGTTGCACTCATCCAGAGTCAAATCAAAGTAGCGCAAAGTTGCATCAAAGTCTCATCAAGTCGCACTGTAAAGTTGCAATGACAATCGCACGATTTTGAAGTTCCACAAGTGTGAATGGAGCTTAAAAGGACACACATACAGTTACAAGATTAACCCCTTCCCACCTGCACCTGCTGGTCTATTCTGAGTATAGGAGCTTTTTTATTTTTTATGCCTTTGCACTCTTTCCTGCATGGAACATGTTATAGCTTATAAATGAGTCTTACATATGAGTCATCCATACAATTATCTTTCTACTAATGAGTTTTCCCCTGACAGGGATTTACCTACTTGGGACCTGTGGAGTGTGGTAACAATTTTTGTGTTTGTTTTATACTTTTAATTTTGTCTGTAATAAAGAAGTTTTGGTGCGCCACTGATCACCTTCTCCTTTGTTTGAATTATTTTTCTTGAGTATTCAAAAATTCCCTGTTGCGGTTGAATTCACAACTAGTTCTTTTTCTGTACGTTTCTCTTTATATTATTATTATACAGGATTTACATAGCGCCAACAGTTTGCTCAGCACTTTACAGTATACAGTTGCAAGAAAAAGTATGTGAACCCCTTGGGATTACATGGAGTTTTGCATGAATTGAGGCATAAAATGTGCTATGAACGTCATCTAAGTCTCAACAATAGAAGAACACAGTCTGCTGAACATAATACTACACGAACATTAGATGTTGCCATGGTTTAATTGCACATAACATGTAAAAATTCACAGTTCAGGGAGGAAAAAGTATGTGAACCTTTGGACATAATAACTGGTTGACCCTCCTTTGGCAGCAATAACCTCAACCAAACGTTTCCTGTAGTTGCAGATCAGACCTGCACAACGATCTGGAGTAATTTTGGACCACTCCTCTTCACAAAACTGTTTCAGTGTAGCAATATTCTTGGGATGTCTGGTGTGAATCGCTCTCTTAAGGTCATGCCACAGCATTTCAATCGGGTTGAGGTCAGGACTCTGACTGGGCCACTCCAGAAGGCATATTCTGTGCTGTTGCAGCCATTGTTTTGTTGAATTACTTGTATGCTTTGGGTCATTGTCCTGTTGCATCACCCATCCTCTGTGGAGCTTCAGTTGGCGACAGATGGTCATACGTTTTCCTGCAAAATGTCTTGATAAACTCTGGAATTCATTTTCCCATCAATAACAACAATCCGTCCAGGCCCTGAGGCAGCAAAGCAGCCCCAAACCATGATGCTCCCTCCGCTGTTTTACAGTGGGGATGAGGTTTTGATGTTGGTGTGCTGTGCCTTTTTTTCTCCACACATAGTGTTGTGTGTTCTTCCCAAACAACTCAATCTTGGTTTCATCTGTCCACAATATATTTTGCCAGTAGTGCTGTGGAACATCCAGGTGCTCTTTTGCAAACTTCAAACGTGCTGCAATATTCTTCTTGGACAGCAATGGCTTCCTCCGTGGTGTCCACCCATGTACTCCATTCTTGTTTAATGTTTTCCTTATTGTAGATGTGCAACAAAAATGTTAGCATGTGCCAGAGATTTCTGTAGGTCTTTAGCTGACACTCTGGGATTCTTCTTTACCTCATGCAGCATTCTGCACTGTGCTCCTGCAGTCATTTTTACAGGACGACCCCCCCTAGGGTGAGTAGCAACAGTGCTAAACTTTCTCCATTTGTAGACAGTCTGTCTTACCGTGGACACATGAACATCAAGGCTTTTGGAGATACTTTTGTAACCCTTTCCAGCTTCATGCAAGTCAACAATTCTTGATCGTAGGTCTTCTGAGAGCTCTTTTCTGCGAGGCATGGTTCACATCAGACAGTGCTTCTTGAAACCAGTAAACCCAAAACAAGTGTGTGTTATTTAAGGGCAGGACAGCTGTCAGCAACACATCCAATATCATCACACTGATTGGAGTCAAGGTTGGCTCACTCCTGGCTCCAATTAGCTCTGGGAGAAGTCATTAAGCTAGGGCCTCACATACTTTTTCCTCCCTGCACTGTGAATGTTTACATGTTATGTGCAATTAAACCATGGCAACATCTAATGTTTGTGTAGTATTATGTTCAGCAGACTGTGTTCTTCTATTGTTGTGACTTAGATGACGTTCAGAGCACATTTTAAGCCCAATTCATGCAAAACTCCATGTAATCCCAAGGGGTTCACATACTTTTCTTGCAACTGTAAAGGGAGACAATACAGCAACAATACAGTTCAATACAAGAGGGTTAGGAGGGCCCTGCTCCATGGAGCTTACAATCTAAGAGATATATTGAGTATTAGCTTTCATTGTCTTGATGGTTAGTGTGTATTTAAATAACCTCCTGTAATTTAACCCCCCCCCCCCCCAGGATCTAGAGATTTTGGAAAGTTACTGGGTACTCTTTTTCTGTGTTTTTATAAATCAATTCATTTATTGAAACCTTGCAATTTATGTTTAGTACTCTTTACATTTGTATATACCTTGAGTGAATTAAAGTAGGACATAAAGGAAAACCTTTTTTTGGAGTGGAGAGAGATTAGAACACCTGTCAGGTTTTTATTGCTGTCTGTGCCCCCAATTCACCTTCTCTATTGATCATGTGTACTATTATCATCAAAAGTGAAATACAATTCTTCATTTTGGGTTATCCCCAGAACAGTAATTGAGGGGAAATCTTTCAATGGGGACACTAGTTCTGAAGACCCTGGTGACAAATTGGGATTCCCTCACTTTGGAGGGATTTCCTTTCACTTCTTGTTTTGGCTATGTGACAGCAAGTGATGGGAAATTTCTCTAATGGGACACAGATGGGAAAAAAAAATGGACATGGGGTTATAACCCTCCCTTAATCCACCTAAAATTAAACTAAATGTTTTCCCTTCAGTTCCGCTTTAACTCCCTTTATGCTGCCTCCTGACCACTATGCTTCCTGTGTAGAAAATCTTAGTCAGAAAGCTCTTATTTTTAGACCTCTTTCTAATTAATGCTTTGTGTGTTTTTTTAAAGATGTTACATTAGTAGCTTAGTTTTTTATCCTCACATACTGGGCAGTTACCCAGAAGAATAAAAAATTATGTTGCCCTGGACAACAAAATGATAGGTTAGCCGAGCACCCACTGGGACTGAAGCAGCAATTTGTTTTCTTGGTTGTTCTGATTTTCCCTGATTTTCTCCCTGTATAAATACTTAACTCTAAGCAAGCCTGCCAATCCATAGACTCAAATTGTAGGGCCAGTAAAATCCACATTATGGAACCTAATTGTCAGGGCCTGTGGGTATTGCACCAAGAGGATTAGTGTGACACATAAGGCAACTTATAGTTTTTAAAATCAGTTCATGATGACAGGCTCCATAGTTCTCTCATGACAAGCTAACAACTAGAGAAGTAATAACATTGCTGGTATGTTTTCACAATCATATTTACTATGAGAGATAATTATATTAAGGACTCAAGGAGTAATAAATGCAGAAAAGAATACACAGCTGACCATTATGTTACAATGAGGTTGCATTATGTTACATGTGACTCCAATTATTCCGTTTAAATAAATAAAAGAATAAGAGTAGTTCAATGCTTAAAGTGTTACTAAACCCACAACAGTAAAATCAGTCTATATATGCAGTGAAGCATGCTTGTTATACTCACTGTGGAATCTAAGAGGTTAATCATCTGCATTGTGTAAAAACGCTGTTTGATCTTTTCTTCCCTGCCCCTCCTCTTGTTGAAATGACCATCTGATACAGACTGAATCTGTAGTCAAATGCACATGCTCAGTTTGGTGTGTATTGCTTGAGAGGTTTTTTTTTTTTTTTTTTTTTTTTTTTTGGAGAGTGCACGTGATCAGCACAGGGCCAATCAGCACTGTCCAGGCAGAGATCAGGGGTTATGCATCCTCCTAGAGCAGAAAGAAAACTCCTCCTACAAGCTTTAACCAGTGCTTTGCTGAAGTCACAACGCTGCTCTAACTGCTGATGAGAAAAGGTATTTAGCGGTTTATATTTACTAAAATAATTGCATTTCCATGTTGTGTGTACTATTAGAGACCAGATATAGGGAATGCAGGGTCCTGGGTTTAGTATCACTTTAATACTCCCACTTCTTGCACTTGGCATTAAATGAATATTAGGTCTCATGCAAAACGCAGCTGTTAAATAATGTGACTTTTTTTTCTGTTCCCTAAACATTCCTCCATTTTAGCCTGTATATCCATGCACACATACAGTGGGTGTTTACAGGCATGTACTGTAAAGGCAGGGGTGTTTAGGGGCAAAAATCCAAATGCACCAAAATCACATTCAGGAGAGAAGCTTTTGGGCAGAAAACAAGATGCAGCTAAACGCGTCTAAATGCGCTTAAGTGATAGAACTTGAATGTTCATTCATTTCAATGGCCATAATAAATTACTATTCTGGTCAATGAAATGAATAAATGCCCAAATGCTTGACATGCCTGAATGAGCCTAAATGCGTTTGTAAAATGTAT